AGTGGGGCGGGAGGTTCCCCAGTCCCACGGGAAGGGTGGGAGAGGGAAATGGGGCTCGCCAGTGCCCAGTCCAGGGGGTCACCCAGGTGTCCCCACTGGGCAGCACCACGAGGGGCTCAGCCCGTGGGTTTGGGGTCCAGGGTGGGATGGAGGTGACAGGAGACCCCAGTCCCAGGGGCCCTGTGGTGAGGCAGGAGGTTCCCCAGTCCCGTGGGAAGGATGGGAGAAGGTTGTGGGGTCACCAGCGCGATGGTCCAGCCAGCGGGATCCCCAGGACCCACCCGGGAGTCCCTGGTGGGCAGCACCATGGTGGGGCTCAGCCCGGGGGTTTGGGGTCTGGGATAGGGAGTGGAGGCAGTGGGAGCCCCCCTGGGCCGGGTTGGGGTCTGGAGGCGATAGGAGCTCCCCGGGTCCGGCGCAGTGATGATGCCCGTGGGTTTGGGATCCGGGATGGAGGAGCTGGAGGAGCGGAAGTCCCCCGGGGCCAGGAGCGGGAGTGATGCCGGTGGGATTGGGGTGCGGCGCCCCCCGGGACCGGGAGTAGGGGTGATGCCGGTGGGTTTGGGCTGCGGTTAGGGCGAGCGGAGCCCCGCGGGGCCGGGAGCGGGGGTGATGCCGGTAGGTTTGGGGTGCGGGGCGGGGGTGATGCCGGTGCCCGCGGCGGGCGGCGGATGCGGGAGCCCATCGGGGCGGCTCATCGCGGTCCCCCCGCAGCCCCCCGCCCCCCCCGCCCCGGCTCACCTGGGACAGCACCTCCGCCTGCCGCGGGCTCAGGTCCCCGACGCGGCCGCTCATGGTGCGCTGCGGGCGGCTCTGCCCGGCCCCGGCGGCCGCGGAGCCTCCGAGCGCCGCCCCGGGACCGCCCCCGCCCGCCCGGCCCGGCCCGGCCCCCCCGCACACCCCCGCGGCCTTGGACCCTGCCCGACCCCCGCCCGCACGGTCAGCGCTCGCCGCCGCCACGGGAGGGGGGGTGGCGGGGGTGATGGGTTTTGGGGGGGCATAGGGGATATGGGGACACGGGGGGACTTGGGTCTGTAGGGGAGTATGGGGGAATGTGGGGGCTGTAAGGGGTATGAGGCACATGGGGGGACACGGAGGGGTATGGGGGATATGGTGACTATAGAGGGTAGGGGGGCTATAGGGGGTTTGGGGCACAGGGAGACATGGGGGGTATGGGGGCATGGGGAGTACGTGGAAATGGAGGGGTCTAGGGGATATGGGGTCATGGAGGGGCTTAGGGGGTATGTGGGACATGAAGGAGTATGGGGGCTGTAGGGGGTATGGGGGATGTGAGGGATATAGAGGTATGGGGCCTCAGGGAACTTGGGGTATGGGGGCAGCTATAGGAGGTATGGGGGATATTGGGGCTATAGGGGGCATGGGGATTATAGGGATATGGGGGACATGGGGGTATAGGGAGTATGAGGGTTTGGGGAGTATGGGGTGCATGAGAGGGATGAGGGTATGGGTCTGTGGGGGTTATGAAGGGTACAGGAGGGTGGGGGTCCTCTGAGACTTTGGGGGGCACAGCAGGGCAGGGGAGTGCGGGTGGAGCAGGTGGCAGGGAGAGGGGACAGGGATGGGAGATAGGGACAAGGGACAGAGGAGGAGAAGAAACAGAGGAGGGGACAGTGATGAAAAGTGGGGCAGGGGCCAGAGGTGGGGACAGGGTGAGAGCACAGGGCAGGGAGCCAGGGCTAGGGGCAGGGCGTGCCAGGGAGAGGGGATGGGGACAGGGGTGGGAGATGGGGACAGGGGACAGAGAGAGGGCTCAGGCACTGACTGGAGGACAGGGGATTGGGGGCAGGATGCCAGAGAGAGAGGACAGGGCAGAGGCACCAGGGACATGGGGGTCACCCTCCCACTGCCAGTTCCTGGGTCCCCAGGGAGAGGGGACCCCCCTGAGGGGGGACCCCAGCCAGGAAGGGGGGCCTGGCCAGGAGAAGAGGTTCCTGGAGGTGCCACAGCCCCTGGCAACCACAGCCACTCTGGTCGGGGTCCAGAGCAGGGGAAGGTTCTCCTGTCCCCATTGTCCCCTCCCATGAGGCTGTGCATGTCCCGTGGAGCCGTGGATGTCCCATGGACCCCCATGTCCCCCATGGACACATGGATGTCCCATGGAGTGCTGGATGTCCCATGAAGTGCTGCATGTCCAATGGAGCCATATGTGTCCCATGGAGCTGTGGATGTCCCATGGATGTCTGATGAAGTCATACATGTCCAAGGATATCCCATGGAAGCACCCCAATCCTAAGAAACATGTCCCCTGGGGCTGTGGATGTCCCACAGAGCCATGTGTCCCCCAGAGACCTGGGGATGTCCCATGGAACCACCTGTGTCCCATGGAGCTGTGCATGCCCCAAGGAGCCATACACGTGCCATGGAGTCATATGTGTCCCTTTGGTCTGTGCATGTCCCATGAACCCGTGGATGTCCCATGGAGCCATCCATGCCCCCTGGAACCACAGGAAGCCATCATATCCCACAAACCTATGGATGCTCCCCAGAGCCATTCACACCCCGTGCGTGTCCCTCGTGTGTCCCCTCTGTGGGGCAGCTCTGGCAGCAGCCACCTCCCAGGCCCTGTTTTGGTGTCCCTCCCCAAACCCACACAGTCCTCCACACCAGTTCCCAGGCCGGCCGTGCCCCTGGATGTTGTTTATGGCACAGCCAGCCCGTTGCAATCGGAATGTTTCGTGTGGTTAAACCGGCTCCTGTTGGGCCGTGGGAGGAGAACCGTGCCCAGCCTGTGATTAAACCCCCGCAGTTACGACACACCGGGGACACAGGGACACGGGGACACGCCCAGACCCGTCCCACGGCACCCAGAGCTGGGTCCCATGGCCCTGAGCCCCGTCCCCAGTGTGGCCCCTGCCCAAAGCAGGTCAGCCCAGGCCCGTGCCGGGGCTAATCCAGCCGGCAAATCCTCCCGGTGGCACATGAGCCGGGCACACGTGGCAGGAGCTGGGCCGAGAGTGTCTGGCACCTGCTGGGGTGGGGGTGTTGAGGTGTCAGGGGTGGGAGGCAGTGGGGTTTTGGGGTACTCAGGTGTCAGTGTGTGTCCTTGTTGCCCGGGTGTGTGTCCCTGTCACCCCAGTGTGTGCCTGTGTCGCCCAGGTGTGCCACCATGTCACCCAGGTGTGTGTCCATGTCACCCAGCTGTGTGTTCCTGGCGCCCACGTGTGTGTCCCTGTCACCCAGGGGTGTGCCTGTGTCACCCAAGTGTGTGTCCCTTTTCACCCAACTGCATGTCCATGTTGCTCAGGTGTGTGTCCCTGTCACCCAGCTGTGTGTCCCTGTCACCCAGGTGTGTGTGCCTGTCACCCAGGTGTGTGCCATGGCTGTGGTAGCACGGATGGGGTGCCCATGTGTGCAGGGCTGTGTGTCCCTGTTCCCTCCTGGCTGTGTCCCCCAGAGCACACGTGTCCCTCTGTTCCCATGGTACCCCGTGTGCCCCCACATCCACATGGAGATGGGCTGTGTGTCCACAGCTGTCCCTGTCTCTGCCTCTCCTCCTCCCTCTCCCTCTCCTTCTCCCTCTCCCTCTTCCTCTCCCTCTCCTGGTGTCAATCACTTTCCTGGTCCCAGAGTCCATCTCTGTCCCTGTCCTGCTGCCTGTGCTGGTTCCTGTCCCTATCTCAGTCCCTGTCCCTCTCCCTGTCCTGGTGCCAGTTCCCATCCTGGTCCCAGCCTTAGTTCCGTCTCTCTCCCGCTCCCAGTCCCTGTCGTTCTCCTGCTCCCCATCCTCCTCCTGGTCCCCACCCCTGTTCCTGTCCCGGTCTCATTCCTCTCCTTGTCACTGCCCTGTCCCTGTCCCAGTGCCAGTTTCTGTCCCGGTCCTGCCCCTTGTCTCTGTGTCAGTCTCAATCCTGCTCCCTGTCCCTCTCCCTGTTCCCAGTGCCATTCCTGTCCCTTCCCTGTCCCGCTGCCCAGTCTGGTCTCAGCCCTTTTCCCCATCTCAGTCCTGGTCCCAGCTCCCTATCCCTCTCCTGGTCTCTGTTCTCATCCCCCTCCCTACCCCTGTCCTGGTCCTTGTCCCTGTCCCAGTCTCAGTCCCTGCTCCTTGTCACTGTACTTATCCTGGTCCACATCCTCATCCAGGTCCTCACCCCCTTCCCCATCTCAGTCTCTGCCTCTGTCCATATCCCCATCCCCATCCCCATCCCCATCCCTATCCCTATCCCTATCC